CGGCAAGTTTTATCGGTTTTGATGAAGAACTGTAACAAAAAATACAAAATAAGATTGGTTTTGATTTTGAAAATATACTTTTTAATCGTCAACAACTATAGAGTCTCCTTCAATGTAACATTATTGGTTTGCTTGAAACAAAACTTACCGATGCAGCTCCTCAGCATAGAATGCAACCAAAAGCTTTGAATCAGCATATGCTTGATAACCGTTAACATATCGATTGAAGAGATCTTCTGAACAAACAACAAATCGAAAACGCTAAACGAGTTCATATGAACACTAAGTCAAAATAAACAACTGTGACAACAGTCCGTTTATTCATCCAGTTTTGTTTGTTGTGCATGAATGATTGACAAAATTTTAAAAATGAAAGCATATCCCTACTGAGTGGAACTTTTGGGTCAATATAGCCAGCATGAGCAGTTGATGAGGATACAAAAACGATACGCAACTGGTGATGAATGGGTTCGATGTGTGAAAGAAGCAGATCAACGAGCAGTGCATGCGACAGCACATTGACAGCCATATGGTGCTCATATCCCCACCGGTTCACCTGTCAAATATTTAGATACAACAAAGGTTCATTCAGAATCTTATACGGTTGCTTATCTCACACGTAATTATTGGTTTAGTTTAAGCACAGCTCGACTGTGTATGTGATCATACGAATGGAAAGCTGCGTAGAATGGTGTTTTTGTCAAGAATTCGAATTTATTGACGAACCTTATACGGATGGAGCATAACTCCGGCATTGCAAACTATTAAACTGATTCCATTCGGTGAAGCTGTTCTGATTTCATCGACAGCCATCTTCACCTTAAACTATCTTTGTGATATTCGATCAGAAAGCGCATTTGAAACTGATAAAAGATGGATGAGCAAGAGGGAAAATGACCTTTTCAAAATCGGAGATATCGAAGATATGAGCATTGAGACGTTCACTGTCTTCCACTGTTAGCAAATCGCCTTCTTGATCAGCTAATGCTTCAACTCGAAACCCAAGTTTCAAGAGCAGTCGAACGATCTGAATAAAGGCATATGGAGTATCGAAGAGATGAGCATTGAAGTGAATATTGACTTCATTATTTTGTTCGACTTGAATCAAATTTGATCGAGATCACGAACTGTGGATTAGCATTTTGAAACGTTTATGTACTGTTGAAATAAATACATGGAACTGATAGCATCGTTGATAAATACATCTCGAATAATACGGTAAAATATCAATGAGCGATTCCAGCGTAGAGCGATAAACTTTCAAATTTACAACACACTTACGTACTTCTATACCAATAGTGCCACTCGCGCCTGTCACAACAGCACAAGCTTTTTGCCTTGATAAACTGTCATGTAGAAATTCACTCGATGTAATTTCACTCTCTAATTTCTAAAATAATCACGTTCACCTTCGAAATCACAAGAATCTTTAAGTTAATAATAAAAGCCACTGAGCCAGTAAGACCGTTACTACCAGACTTGGCTGATCCGAAATCAAAACGCTCTCCTCTGGCAGTTACTTTCCTCTGGCATTATAAGTTCGTTCGCGAGTTGGGATCAGTGACAATGATCATATGGACGGCGGTCATCAAATCACGTACATTAACATTTTAAGGCAGACAGATAAACATATTGAATAGATGTATCGTTTTTGGTTCAACGACAACAAAACTTCGTTGCCTGAACCTTCTAATCTGGGCTATGCGATGCTTGGAGTCGCACTTGTCGGATGGTTTCTGCGTCACAAATAACTTGTCGAAATAATACCTGAGAATAGGTACTGTAACGACGACGTATCCAGAAGTTGTCCTTGACGAACTCAACAAACGAATAATACAATCCAATCACATAAATGAACAAAATGGTCCATATACCAAGCAGCCTTTCATATGCCGACACTCGAGATGGTTTCGCATCCACATTCATTGACTGCCTCGTCTATAATTCTCACACTTCCTCACTTGATGTGTCGACTTCGAAAACAAAACGTTAAGTTCAGTGCTCATGAACAAGCTGGATACGCGAGCGTAATCATTACTTTCGAATAAAGTTGTCCTCGCAAAATGGGGGTTTAGTCGTTGTTTGCAGTAGTGTTGTGCGAGGAGTCCTGATTCCTCGTCCCCGACCTTCTTGGAGTCGCGGCCATTTTCGGAGACAGTCCCCGTCCCCGAAATGTCCTCAACTTCTCCGGAATTACCGGCGCTTCCTAAAATTTCGGGAAGGCTCCCCAAAATTTCGGGAAGTCTCCCCGAAATTCCCTGGAAAAAATTAAATTTTTGAGAGATACTGAAATGTTCATAAGTGCTATCGTTAACACGTTGTTATGAGTCACGCGAGGACTTTCTGAGCATTCCGTTCACAAGTTAATGAACAGTGAAATGTTGGGAAGTCTTCGAGGAATTTCGGGGATGGAAATGAGAGTGAGTTTTTTTCCCCGAAACTCCCCGTCCCCGACCATTTTCAAGCCGTGGCCATTTTCGGAGACTGTCCTCGTCCCCGACTTTCTTTCCGTCCCCGCACAACACTGCTTTGCATTACACCACTCACCTTTCACGAAAGGGTGATTCATTGGGTAATAAAGTAATAATCCGATCCGAAGTGAACACAACCACGGTGCGGGCTCCCTTCAGAATATGCCACTTTTATCGATTCCTTATGAACACTTTATTGGTCATAAGTGGAGAACTTTATTCATATGAACAATACTTTATAGGAAGAAAATATTTGCAGAGAACCCAAATGAACAAATGATGAAATAATTCAGTTGAATGACAGACTTTTCGCCGAGAAATTAGTTCTGAGTGATGAAGTTCGAGGATGATTAGAGTCAATCTATCTTCTCAATGATCTCAACTTGATAGCCGAAATAAGAATAACGATGAAATCCGGAAAGCGATATCTCATGAAGTCGGTGTCTCTAGAAGTCTTAATAACGAAAGAACTGTTTCCGTCGATGAGAATTTTCCGAAATTTGTTATATCGTTCAAATTCTCTCAGCCAAATGTCCTCATAACAATCAAAATGCATGGAATGATCGAATAATGTGGGGATGTAAAGATGAACGTTTCAGTTACTCAATGAACAGTGGGATCGTTTCTATTCTAGTGGAAGATAACGAGGATTTTGGAAAAGTTTTAAAAATCAATGGGCAATGAGCGAAGTGAACAAAATTTGAAAGCGAAATGAAACGTGAAATCCGATGAAACGAGAGAAAATGCGAAAAATCATCAGAAATTCACATTTTCAAAAGTCGATTTTGAATAAAACATACATAATATACTTCGTAATAGATAGTTAGAAGTGACGAAATCGTACAAAGGCGTTAAGAATATTGTTCATTCAATGAAGACGAACCCCATAGAGTGCACAGATGTGCTGGATAAACAATACATCCAATAACAGACTTAAAAGCAATAACAAGCTGACAACCTGGGTACATTCCATGTTTTTTTCTTATCGCTTCGGTANCTGAACAGAGACTGCTTACAAATGGAACGAATGGAGTTGTTCTTACAAAGAATAGAAATACAATATGAATGAGATAGAATAAAACTCGATAGACACAAAAATTGTTGCATTTATCATACATAAATAATACGCGTTTATTGCAAAGGCATTTATTTCTTCGTATATATAAATATATATTTGAGAAGCGATTTACTAAGAAAAGTTAACGTTTCCCATTCAAACACCTATACAATACAATGGAATCTAATACAGTCGTGAGGCCTAATAGCTCAATAGATCTACTAGAAGAAAATGAAAATTTCGGAACAAAAAAAAACATTATTTCAAGGATGTCGAAATGTTCGCAAAGCAAAATCCTCTCAAATTTTCAGAGAGTTGTATTGCCCGGCCATGCAAAGCCTAAGGAAATGACCAACTGAACATAATGAAAGTAGTTTTGAATAGCAAAAAATAGGAAAGAGATGAAATAAAAAGGGAATGTTAGTTGCATTTCAAATAACATATCTGGAATGCGGTTTTCAAAATTTGATTTTATAAAATCGAGTGAAACCATAGAAAAAGTACTAAACTGTACGTACATAAATGTGCAGATAAAGAAGCAGTAAAAAGCTGAAATTGAATGGTAATTGAAAATATGGAAACGAGGCAGAAAGCTTTTCACAAAGTACAAATGGGAAGACGATAATTGACCATAGCGCGATAATTCACTTGCCGATAACAAAGAGTGATGTGCATGCGACGAATGTGATTCTTGAATTAGCAACTTCGAAACTGTGCAAACGATACGGATGAATGTAGTGAACAGCTAAGCGAATTCAGTGATATCAAAGAAAATTCTCTCATGCGAATGAAAATGCATCCAAAAATGACCACCAAACAGTGCCGAAAGCAGAGTGAAGCAACTCAGCTCCCTCACATTCCAAATCCTCGTGGCTGCTGAATGCGGTGTGTTATCGCTTCAATAATCTGGTTTTTCAGAGCTTCAATCGATAACGAACTCGCCTATAGTTGTGATGTTGACAAGCAAAAGGACACTTCACATCGCCATTCTCAATGCATCACGATCAATGAACTCAAACTAAATGAGTGTTCAA